CAGGAATCTTTGGCCCAATGTGGGATTTGAACCCTTGACCTTGAGATTAAGAGTCTCATACTCTACCAATAGAGCACTCCCAGTTTGAGCTTTTAAAGCTCTACACCTTCCATGCATTTAATTTCAGTTGTTCCGACTGACTGGCTTTCAACTGCATAAAGCTGAAATTGCACATGTTACATGTGGGTAGGTTGCGATCATACTGTACAGTACATACAAGCCTCCCATCCATTTTTTGGATCTACAGTGCTACCTCGGGTTACATACGCTTCAGGTTACATACGCTTCAGGTTACAGCCTCTGCTAACCCTGAAATAGTGCTTCAGGTTAAGAACTTTGCTTCGGGATGAGAACAGAAATTGTGCTCCGGAGGCCCCGTTAGCTAAAGTGGTGCTTCAGGTTAAGAACAGTTTCAGGTTAAGAACGGACCTCTGGAACGAATTAAGTACTTAACCCGAGGTACCACTGTAGTTTCAACTCAGGCTTACCTAACCGAAACTGTATTCCACAAGGGTAGCTGAGTTAGTCTCAACCAAAACCAGCAGAGGGCGTTGTGGTAACAAAAAAACCCCAAACAAACCAAAAATCCTCCTAACAATTTGTCCCTTTGCATGTTTATTCAAGAGCAATGGCCCAGTGCTTTTTTTTCTTTAAAAATGTTTAGGGGTACTCTCATTTTGACTCAAGAAAATCAATATTCTATAGTTCAAATCAGGAAAAATAAATAGAGTAAATGGACAAAAGTACAAAGATTCAAAAAAATGTTTAGGGGTATGCGTCTCTCCAGAAAAAAAGCACTGCAATGGTCCAATCCTATATGCATACTCAGAAGAAAGTTCATTGTACAGGCTCGCAGCCTTACTCTGTTCGATGGAGCTTGCAATCCTGTGCACTTTCTGCAGAAGTAGTTCCATGAATGCAGAGTCAATAATGCACAGCATTGTCCTGCAATTGGTCTACTGTGGCATAAGCAGCCATGGATACAAGTTAAGTCCACATCCTTTGTGCACTTATGTCACACAGGCAAATTAATCTCAACAAGTATAGATGATAGCAGGTGAAGCACAAAGGGGGAAGTCAGCCTGGGAACCACACACACACCAGTACATAAATAATAGGGGTGAAAAGAAAGAAAGAAAGAAAGAAAGAAAGAAAGAAAGAAAGAAAGAAAGAAAGAAAGATGGGGGTGGGGGGACTAGACGGACCATTGTAAAATGAGCCCCATCCCCTGACTTAGCCAAATCAAGTCACCAGGAGATTGTGGTAACAGTAAGGAAAAATAGATATATAAAAAATGAATGTAAGAGGTGCCCTGGCAGGATCAGGCCAGTTGCCCATCTGGTCAAGCATCCTGCTCACACAGTGGCCAGCCTGCAAGCAGGCCTGGGTGCAACAGGATTCTCCCCTCTTGTGATTCCCAGAAACTGGTATACAGTGGTACCTCGGGTTACAGACGCTTCATGTTACAGACGCTTCAGGTTACAGACTCCACTAACCCAGAAATAGTACCTCGGGTTAAGAACTTTGCTTCAGGATGAGAACAGAAATCGCTTGGCGGCGGCGCGACAGCAGCAGGAGGCCCCATTAGCTAAAGTAGTACCTCAGGTTAAGAACAGTTTCAGGTTAAGAACGGACCTCCAGAATGAATTAAGTTCTTAACCCGAGGTACCACTGTACTGCATCTGACCACAAGAATAGCAACGCAACCTCTAGAGCTGCGGGCTTATATTTATTCTTGCAGTGTGCCTGCCTGCTGACACCTGAGAAGCCCCACTGCATGCAATGACCTGCTTCTGAATAAGATGGGCATTTAGGATTTGACCCTGCAGATCTCCAAGGTGCTACTGCAGGTGGGGACATAGGAGCCAACTCCTAGGGGCCGAAGTCCCTTAGCCCCCCAATAAAATATTTGAGGGGGCTCCTCCCCACTTGGTGGGCCTCGCCATTCAGATGGCGTGCGCGCGCTGCATCGTGCGATCAATTATTTTATTCAAGTTGGCACCCCTGGGTGGGGGGCAGGAGAGGCATCTGGTTGCCCCTAGGCAAAACAACAATAAATTCTGTGCTCCCCTAGAGACCTGGAATGGGGCAAGGCAGCGTCACAGGCAGCCAGCTAAATGCCACCAACACACACTTTCACCACTGGGTGCAAACTTGAATAAAATATTGGGGGAGGCCAGGTAAATCCACCCCTGCATAGTAGATCACAAAACATGGCACACACACCATGGGAATGGCGATACCCATCATAGGAGCCGACTCCTAGGGGCTGAGGTCCCTTTGGCCCTCCAATAAAATATTTGAGGCCCCCCAATGTTGATGGGCATTGCCATTCAAACATGGCATGTGTACTGCATCATGTGATCGATTATGCAACACCCCCATATTTTATTCAAGTTGGCACCCATGATCCTTATCACCTTTGGGGGGGGTGTTGTTGTTTAGTCATGTCCGACTCTTCGTGACTCCATGGACCAGAGCACGCCAGGCACTCCTGTCTTCCACTGCCTTCCGCAGTTTGGTCAAACTCATGCTGGTAGCTTCGAGAACACTATCCAACCATCTCGTCCTCTGCCGTCCCCTTCTCCTTGTGCCTTCAATCTTACCCAGCACCAGGGTCTTTTCCAGGGAGTCTTCTCTTCTCATGAGGTGGCCAAAGTATTGGAGCCTCAGCTTCAGGATCTGTCCTTCCAGTGAGCACTCAGGGCTGATTTCCTTCAGAATGGAGAGGTTGGATCTTCTTGCAGTCCATGGGACTCTCAAGAGTCTCCTCCAGCACCATAATTCAAAAGCATCAATTCTTCGGCGACCAGCCTTCTTTATGCTCCAGCTCTCACTTCCATACATCTCTACTGGGAAAACCATAGCTTTAACTATACGGACCTTTGTTGGCAAGGTGATGTCTCTGCTTTTTAAGATGCTGGGGGGGGGGATATCCCCTCAAACATTTCATTGGGAGAGGGGATAGGAGTTGGCTCCTATGCAGGGCCGGATTTAGGTTTGATGAGGCCCTAAGCTACTGTAGGTAATGGGGCCCTTTATATGTCCAGCTGCCCTTTGTCAACAACAAATCGTCCCTATTTTTTGTGTTGAATATATGCTATATGGTAATTTATGGACCTAATAGGTATCTAAAGCCATTTACACATAAATAATTATGTATTTTATCAAAGCAATTGTTGAACTGAAATACAATTAAGAAGTATATTAATATTGGAAATGTACATTCAGTTCCCCCCCTTTAAATTTTTTTGGGGCCCCCAAAAGAGTGGGGCCCTAAGCTATAGCTTGTTTAGCTGTAAATCTGGCACCGCTCCTATGCATGCGCCAAGTGACGATTCGCTTTTGCCTCCGCCGAAGCGTGCAGAGGAGCGGGAGGAGGAGGAGGCGGAGCAGCGGCCGCGGGCTGATCCCTCCGACGGCAGCCCAGCGCCGGCGCAGTACAAGAGGCGAGCGCCAAGGCGGCGGGCGGGCTGCGCAGAATGAGCGGCGCGCAAGCAGGCGGGAGCGCAGGTCCGCTGGGCGCTCGTTCGGCGGCGCTGCGCGGCGGGCGGAGTCCTTTTCTGCAGCAGCGGCGCTCTTAGGCTCGGCTGGCCGGGCACCGCCTTCGCCTGGGCAGCAGCTCTCCGGCGCATATGGCGCTTCCCGGCGCGCCGCGGAGGAGCCCACCGAAGCAGGGCGCGATGCCGGGCGCGGAGCCTCGCTGAGTCCCCCGCGCAGCGCCCCGGGAGAGGCAGGAAAAGGAGCGAGCCAGCCCCGGGATGAGCGCCTCGGCTGCCACGGGCGTCTTCGTGTTGTCCCTCTCGGCCATTCCCGTCACTTACCTCTTCAACGCCTTGGCTGCCAGCGGCGGGTGAGCGAGAGCGGGGCGGTCGCGTTCCCACGTGCGCTCTGGTAGCGGGTTTGCGTGCACGTGTGAACGCGGTCTGGGAGGCAGAGGAGCGGGAGAGAGCTCCGGGAATGGTGGGCGCGGGCAGAGCAGGGGTGGTGAAGCCTATTCATGGCAGGGGGAGAGGCGAACTTTGTTCCACACAGACTAGAGTTCCGGAAAAGAAAGGAGTATATTGGGGTCGGGGGTAGAGAAAGCTGCTTGTTTTTTGGGGGGGCATTTCCCCTTCTCGACCCACCCAAGTCTGTAGAAGCAATGGAAGCTGAGGGCCTCTGCCTGTTATGGAGAAACTGTATTGTGACTTGCTGGGATGTCTTGAGCGATCTAGCTGCATGCTTTCTGTCCCAAACAGATAGCGCCTGCTTATGAGTAAATGCGTGCAGGCGATCGGGCTGAATGGGCTTGCCCAGCTTATATCAGTGTATAACTTAAATGTAGAACTTCCAGCAGCTTCAATTGTAAGTTGAGGTTTCTTCCAGCACCCATTGTATTCATGAGTCAGAGATTGAGTAGCATGACAGAGGAATTGCTGGTGCCTTTAAGGTCCCCATTTGCACATCACGCAGGACGTACTCAGAATGTCATTAAGGCTGCAGTTCCAACTCCCTTGGCTTGGGAGCAAGTCCCATGGAATTCTGTAGGGCTTAGCAGATGTGGCTAGGGTTGCACTGTGAATCAGCCAAATCCTGGCTCCCTGATTACCATAGCAGCATGATACGATGTGTGTGGTGTACACACATTTACCTGTTTAGGTGTACACTAAAATAGCTTATGTTTGTACATCTAAAATATATATGTATTGAGTGAAGAGATCATATTCCACATGCGTGAGAGTATCGCAGTAAAATGCCTTTCGTTCTTTTTTTACTGTTTGCACTTAGGAACACATTTTTATTATTATTCTGCTGAGGGGTTTATAGGAAGGCAAATCTAAATGTGCATTAGAATTGTTAATGTGCTTGATGTGTTCCTTGTGATCGCACATTCACCTGGGTCAAGTGTGCTGTTGCCATATAATTTTACACCGGCGTCTGCACCAGTGTGGTGAAGGTGCACAGAACTTTGCATTAACTGGAGTGTTGCAGCCTTAACAGCTTCTCCCAGTGAAGTCCTACACATACCTAACCTGCTTTTTGAGTGTTCAGAACTTTTTGGATGTTAATGAAGCTGTAAGGGAGGACAGCCGTTGGAAGGGAGGAAGCTGCTTTATACTGAATCAGACTGCTGGTCCCTCTAGCTCAGGACTGTCCTCACTGACAGCTCTCCAAGGCTTAAGCCAGAGGACATTCCCAGCCCTACCTAGAGATTGAACCCAGGACCTTCCATGTGCAAAGCAGATGCTCTGCTGCTGACCTATTGCCCTCCATGTTTAGCTAACAAATGGACACCACATAACACCAGTCCTGAAAGAGCTACATTGGCTCCCAGTATGTTTCCGAGCACAATTCAAAGTGTTGGTGCTGACCTTTAAAGCCCTAAACGGCCTCAGCCCAGGATACCTGAAGGAGCATCTCCACCCCCATCGTCCAGCCCAGACACAGGTCCAGCGCTGAGGGCCTTCTTGCGGTTCCCTCCCTGTGAAAAGTGAGGTTACAGGGAACCAGGCAGAGGGCCTTCTTGGTAGTGGCGCCCGCCCTGTGGAACGCCCTCCCACCAGATGTCAAGGAAATAAACAACTATCTGACTTTTAGAAGACATCTGAAGGCAGCCCTGTTTAGGGAAGTTTTAATGTTTGATATTTTATCATGTTTTTAATATTCTGTTGGGAGCTGCCCAGAGTGGCTGGGGAAACCCAGCCAGATGGCCGGGGTATAAATATATTATTATTATTATTATTATTATTATTATGGCCATAGAACATAGGGAATCAGAACCATTGCTGCATCTAGATCTCCATGCTAAATAGCAATGGCTCCCTGGGGTTTCAGACAGCTCTGCCTGGAGATGTGGGAGTCTGAAACCGGGACCTCCTGTCTGCAAAATGGATGCCATTCATTACTGCCCAATACAGTTGTACCTCGGGTTGGGTTACAAACACTTCGGGTTACGTGTTTTCAGGGAAACCCGGAAGTACCGGAAAGGGTTACTTCCGGGTTTCGCCGTATGCGCAGAAGTGCTAAATCACGCTTCGCACATGTGCAGAAGAGCCAAATCGAATCACCCACATGCACAGACGCAGCGCTGCAGGTTACGAACGCTGCGGGTTGCGGACGTGCCTCCGTCACGGATTACGTCCGCAACCCGAGGTTCCACTGTATTGCAGATGAGAGGCTGAGTGATGGTGGCATAACTTGGACTATCACTTGGACTATCACTGACCTGAGCCAGTGATTTCCTTGGCTTTTGTTGGAAACATAGCCAAGAGTTGGCCCCATGGAATGGAATGAGACCTCCTTCTGCCTGAATGCGCACAGGCCTGTAGTCGTAGCTGTTGTACCAGATACTATAGGTCATCTACGATTCCTGGCCATTAACTGAAGGCCCACCATTGTCTTTGGTAGAAATGGCTGTGAACTCATAAAGTCCTGTGTAGGAAGTTTGAAAGTACTTTCCTGCTTTTGATCTCCCATTAAAGGAATTCAGATGTGCGCAAATGGCACGGGGAAGCTCAGTGGTGCCTCGGGTATCTCTGCAAAAACAATCACAAGCACCTGCATTTTTAAAAAGGCAATATCCTTTATTGCCAATGCATATTGAGAAATGTTCTCGAGCGATATGTTTTTTAACAATTAAAACGTGGAAGAAATATCTTCTCTGAACCCAGAGAAGAAGAAGCTGAAGCTGATCTTCTCAGTACCCAGCTGGAAAACATCCTTTCTACTGGTGTATAATTCTTGTTGACCCACTTCAAAATTATGACGGAGGCGGCAGTCCTAACCCACTTACCTGGGAGTGAGTCTCATCAAGTTGTGTAGGGCTTACTTCTGAGTAGATATGTTTAGAATTCTGCTGCGAGTCAGAAATTCTATATACACTTCCCTGGGAATAAGTTCATCTGAATTCAGTGGGGATTACTTCTGAGTAGACATGTATAAAATAGATACGTGTGTATCCAGTGCTGTTTTTTCGGGGGGGGGACGGACGGACGCAGGGGTACGCATACCCCTAAACATTTTGTGAATCTTTGTACTTTGGTCCATTTACTGTATTTATTTTTCCCAATTTGAACTATAAAATGGTGATTTTCTTGAGCCAAAATGAGAGTACCCCTAAACATTTTTTTAAAGAAAAAAAGCACTGTGCGTATCTGTTGAACACACACACTCAGAAGTAGGACCTATTGAATTCAGTGGGGCTAAGTTCTACCACCACTGTTGGAGGCAGTATCCTTCTGCCACTTACTGCGGATCACAAGTGGCTAGTATTCCCAGGAAAGTGGGTGAAATATTGCAGCCTTACTTGGCAATGAGCCCCATTAAACCCTGCTGAGTAAATATGCATAGGGTTGTGCCATCGAGGCATGCAGTGTGTTCAGACCCTCTAGGGGAAAATAACCCTCCTTTTCCTCCTTCCACAGTTTATTTTCCTGCCCAGCTATTTGATCCCTCTTGCCTGCTTCCTCTCTGTGTGAAAACATGTTGACTGTATGTTTTCAGCCTTCCTAGATATTACAGATTCATTTGCATTAGAGACATCAGTTTCAGTGGAGCCGTCAGAGGAGGGCCGAGTGGGCAAGCCGCGGAGAGATCCATTGGCTGCTTGCATAATCTGTGCTGGTATTTTTAGAAGCTGCGCTCCGCTGCCTGCAAGGGACATTGTGTGTAGAGAGAGAGGAACAACAATAGCTACCAGCTGCCTTCTCAAAAGGAAGAGCCAGGGGTTTCATTTATCAAAAGAAAACTGCCAGTGCCATGGCATGTTTTGAGGGCAAAGGCCTTCTGAGCTGGAAAGCTATGGGAGGAGGGCTGTAGCTAAGTGGTAGAGAATCTGCTTCGCATGCAGGAGGTCACAGGTTCAAATCCTGGCATCTCCAGGCAGGCCTGTGAAAGGCCCTCTGTCTAAAAATATGGAGAGTCGTTGCCAGCCAGGTCAGGGTAGACAGTGCTGAGCTAGAGGAATCAATGGTCTGACATGCTATAAGGCATCAGCCATGTGTTCCGTGCCACAAGAATGTGAATCTTTCTTTATATTTAGAAAAGGACAACAGCTCAGTGGCAGAGCCCATTCTTTGCATGCAAAAGGTTCAAGGTTTAATCCCTGGCATCGCCAGGTAAGGCTAGGACCGACCCTTGCTTGAAAGTTGGCAGAGCTGCTGCCAGCCAGTGTGGGCAGTTTTGAGCTGGGTGGACTAATGGTCTGCTTTTGGCATAAGGCAGCTTCCTATGTTCTTTAACCTCAGATAACCTCAGATAATCCCAGTAGTGATGCATGGAAGTGACAGCTGGACCATAAAGAAGACTGATCGCCGAAGAATTGATGCTTTTGAATTATGGTGCTGGAAGAGACTCTTGAGAGTCCCATGGACTGCAAGAAGATCAAACGTATCCATTCTTAAGGAAATCAGCCCTGAGTGCTCACTGGAAGGACAGATCCTGAAGCTGAGGCTCCAGTACTTTGGCCACCTCATGAGAAGAGAAGACTCCCTGGAAAAGACCCTGATGTTGGGAAAGATGGAGGGCACAAGGAGAAGGGGACGACAGAGGATGAGATGGTTGGATAGTGTCTTCGAAGCTACCAGCTTGAGTTTGACCAAACTGCGGGAGGCAGTGGAAGACAGAAGTGCCTGGCGTGCTCTGGTCCATGGGTTCACGAAGAGTCAGACACGACTAAACGACTAAACAACAACAACCTCAGCATAATCCTTTATATCCCTGCCTGATCACCCAAGACCTTTGGGAGAGTCTCTATAGGTGGTCCTTCGTGCTTCAGATGTACAGCTCATAACTACCAGAAGCTACGCATTCATTGTAGGGGGTCTGAGCCTATGGGACCCCCTCCCAACTGAGATTAGACAGGCACCCTCCTTGCTGAACTTTGGCACATGACTAATACTAGTAATGTAAGCAAAGGCAGATGTTGTTATAGTTTCTCTTGCTAAAGACTAAGGGGTCAAGTAGCAGTGCTCACACTCTGTTTTTATGACGGATTGTGGTAGATACTCGTATTTCCTTGATATGGGCAAAGCGTTCCTTCAAAGCGGAAAGGGTTTTGTTTTTGCGTAACTATCCGCTTTTGAAACGGTGTTCTGTACATAAGGATCTGCAATTTGCAAACGACTTCTTGCGATGAGCTTGGTTTGCGCTAATGATGGTTTGGTGCACTGCTGACAAACTATAGTTTATGTAATTATGTAGCAAAATGTTTGCTTGTCACCAAGCCAGTGAAATGTAACAACTAAATCGAAAAGAATAAGGCTGCTCCCTCCTTTCTGAAGACATGATTGCTTGTGTGATTTTTTTAAAAAAAGGAAGTGAGATACATAGTGTGTTTCCAAATGAGGTCTGAGAAATTCTTAACCACAGAATGCTAACCTGCATTTGCAGAAAGGAAGAATGCAAAATCAAGCAAACCTTCAAAGCAGTTTCTTATTTTATTATTACGTGTTAAAGCTGCAATATGATTGAATCTTGACAGTGGAGAGAATGCCCTCGTTTCTAGGGCTTAAAAGACAAACATGGGCTCGTTGTGTTTGCATTTTGTGCTGGGGAAGATCAGTAGCAATGCTTAAGCTGCCTTGCAGGGATGTTTATTCGCTATTGCCTGTTTATGGTATTGGACTGGATGAGGTCCAATAAACTGAAACTCAATCCAGAGAAGACAGACACTGTTAGTAGGTGGTTCCTCCGCCTGGAAAAATGGTGCCAAACCAGTTCTGGATAGGGAGGCACAGGTGGAATGCCTTCTACCAACTAAAACAAAAAAAATCCTTCCAGTAGCACCTTAAAGACCAACTAAGTTAGTTCTTGGTATGAGCTTTCGTGTATCTGAAGAAGTGTGCATGCACACGAAAGCTCATACCAAGAACTAACTTAGTTGGTCTTTAAGGTGCTACTGGAAGGAATTTTTTTGTTTTGACTATGGCAGACCAACATGGCTACCTATCTGTAACTTCTACCAACTAGTCACCCACCAATGCCCCTTTAGACAAGGATGATCTGGCTTCGGTAGTTGATGCTCAGAGATCGAGTTGTGTGCACCAGTATGCCATTTGTTTGATACAGTTGAGGAACCATTGAGATGATAGACTTCTCCCCTGGTTTTATTCTCTGCAGCTCCTGGGTCACTGTTGCAGTTGGATTGTTGATTCTGTTCTTAGTGGGTCTAGCAGCCCGATTCCTGGTGAAAAGAAAACCGCCCCGAGACCCACTGTTCTATGGTACGTATCGGTACCCTGCAACAGGCATATCTCTAAGGGTAGAGTGTGGCTTTTACTAGGGTTTAATGCAGGGGTAGGCAACCTAAGGCCTGGGGGCCGGATGTGGCCCATTAGCCTTCTCAATCCGTCCTGCGGATGGTCTGGGGATCAGCGTATTTTTACATGAGTAGAATGTGTCCTTTTACTTAAAATGCATCTTTGGATTATTTGTGGGGCCTGCTTGGTGTTTTTACATCAGTAGAATGTGTGCTTTTATTTAAAATGCACCTCTGGGTTATTTGTGGGGCATAGGAATTCGATCATATTTTTTTTCAAAATATAGTCCGGCCCACCACATGGTCTGGACCGGCCCACGGCTGAAAAAGGCTGCTGACCCCTGGTTTAATGAGAAATTATGGTTTCCCACTGTACGAACAAATTGCCTTGAGCCTTGGGGTTATGTCTCCCTGCCATTCTCTTTTTGTGCCCACAAGAAGGAGAATGAAAACTTCTGGTTTTGATCTTAAAGCTAACTACACCAGCCTGTGATGTCTGAAGTTGGGGAATTGTGATTTGAGGTTAAGGCAGAATCAGGCTGTGGTTTCAAGACCTGTATTGTTTAGATCAGTGGTTTTCAACCAGTGTGCCATGGCTATAAGCTCCACAGGTGAATGGTGCCTCTGGGACTGGCCAGGGGGTGCTGGTTGCCAGGAACTGAGGCAGCCTCGGAGTAAGCAAGCAAGTAGGTGAGGGAGCCCAGCCAGCCAGTCCACCAACGCTTGCTGTTGGGAATGGATAGACAAGTCCTAGGCCTCTGTGGGGCAGTGTGAGCGGGCACCTCTCTTTGGGGCTTGGGGGGCAGCTCAGAGACCAGGCATGGCAGCGGCGGCTGCCGGGAGGATTCCCAAGGAGTGGGTAGTGGAGGTTGAGGGAACCCTCCACAAGGGAGGGTGTTTGAAAAGGGATGGGGCCGTCAGCTCTGCAGGCAAGGGGTGACATAACTGGGCTCCTGAGCCCCACAGGGGTGCCACAGAAATAATGTAGTTTTGTGGACTCAAAAAGGTTGAAAGCCTCTGGTTTAGATACTTGCAAGGATGGGGAACTTGCGGCCCTTCAGATGTTTTTGTTGGACTCCAACTCTCATCAGCCCCAGCCAACAAGGCCAGTGGTCAGGGATTATGAGAGCTGTAGTCTACGACATCGGGAAGGCCACGGGTTTTCCATCTGTGCTCTAAACAAAAAAAAACAAACAGTCCCTGAGTCCTGATCACAGGGAACTGTGGTCAGTTTAAGATCAAAAGCTTCTCTGACTTTAAGAGTGGCTGGGGAAACCCAGCCAGATGGGCGGGGTATAAATAATAAATTATTATTATTATTATTATTATTATTATTATTATTATTACTACTACAAGTTACAGGGAACCAGGCAGAGGGCCTTCTTGGTAGTGGCACCCGCCCTGTGGAACGCCCTCCCACCAGATGTCAAAGAGAAAAATAACTACCAAACTTTTAGAAGACATCTGAAGGCAGCCCTGTTTAGGGAAGCTTTTAATGTTTAATAGGTTATTGTATTTTAGTGTTTTGTTGGAAGCCACCCAGAGTTGCTGGGGAAACCCAGCCAGATGGGTGGGGTATAAATAATATATTATTATTATTATTAGGGCATGGGGGAAGAGTTGGGAGCGTATGAGTCTGAGGCTTACGGTGGGGAAGGCCAGCCTGGCTTGTGCCACCCTGGCTGTCTAGCTGAGCTTGACATTAGGAAAAAGACCCTCTTACAAGTTATTAATGTGTTTATATTCCCCCTCCTCCTCTTGAACTGCCACAGTCTATGCCGTGTTTGCTTTCACCAGCATCGTGAACTTGATCATTGGGCTTGAGCACGACGGAATCATCGATGGATTCATGACCCATTACTTGAAAGAGGTAGGTGATGATCTCAAGGTAGGAGCCGCTTGGCGGATGACTGGAGGGTGGTGAAGGCTGCATGAGCCTTTATGGACGCCAACAAAGGCCGTTTTTAGTTCCTCCTAAAATCTCCACATCCTCCCTGAGTTCTGGAGAACTTAAAAGCTTGCTTCCTCTTTTGTGATATTTTCGTTCTCGGCAGCGCTTGGGTGCCGTTCCTCCACAACAACCAAGACTTTTCTTTTTTTACTTACAAGGCTCCAGAGCAGAGGTGGGGAACCCCAGGCCAGATGTGGCCCTCCAGGCATCCCTGCCTGGCCCTCAGGGATCTCCCCAGCCCACAGTCCTCCCTGGCTCCTGCTGTCCACCTTCCTCAAGTGCTTCTGCTTGCCTAGAATTTCCCCTTCCATTCCATTTCATCTCACTTTTAATTTTTATACCGCCTTTCTATACTACGGTACACACCAAAATAGATGGCAAAGATTGTCCACGTAACAATCTGATCCGATACAAAAAGTCACAGTAACTTAAAAATAAACAGCTTATATCAAATAAAGCAATTTTCAATAATGCATTAGAATATAATAGTAAACAGTAAAATTAAATATCAGCAAATAGTAAACAGCTTACACTTATAAATTACAGTAAAGAATTACTAAACTGTCAATCAATAAAAATAACGGCAAGTCACAATGCATAAATTGCCGCAAGACATACAAAAACCCATGTAAAAGGATCAAATTGAGAAACAAGGACACACCACTTATAACACATTTTTTTTAAAAAAATATGGTCTGGGAAAGGCTCCTAGGGCTGGAGGATAGGGCAAGGCAGGTGGGAAAAGGCATTGCATGATGAAAAGCAGAAAATCTCTTGCGCACATCTTGATTATTTGGCTGGAATGTACCCTGCTATATCGAAGGGAATGTGGTCCTTGGCCTGAAAAGGCTTCCCTAGCCCCCTACTCCAGATTGCTGAAGGAAGCTTCATCCTGATATATTTATTTATGGATTTCAAAGAATTGCCGGTTGCCCTTCAGCAGATTCCAGAGGCGGTGAACCGCAAGTACAAATAATGAATCATTTATATCACAACACACTAAAATCCGGCCTCATGTTGCCACAACACGGCTGCATCAGTCCTTTTAGAGATATTGCCCTAGTTTGGCTTCTGGGTTTTGTTTTCCTCAAGGATCAGCATGGCTACTTTTATTTTATTTTTAGCAATTGTCTTGTTTCTCAACTACTTCAGGCTCAGAAGCAGGTTCAGGATTGCAGCCTTAGAGCTGCAAGATGTGGTGTGAACACCCACACTTAGGAGTGTCAGCAGTTTTGAAAAACACGCAAACACGCAATGTGTGAACTTATATCAGGACCACAGCATTGCGGGATGCACAAACCGTATTCCCCACTGTGCCACTTTATGCCATTTACAGCTATTAATTTGTTTGCAGCATTTGTTTGCCGCCAAACAAAGTTCTCTGGGCAGCTCATGATAAATAACTAAAAACCAATTTAAATACAAATTACGACACAAAGGCATGAAACGCTAGAAAAACAAAACTTGCCGCACCCCCAAAGATCAGAGACAGATTTCCCTGATTGAGATTGCCTCTGCTCAAAAGTTATTTGCCTTCCAGCAGAAAGCTTAGTGGTATAATTGGGGTAGGGTTATTTTGGGCAGGACATTAATTACAAAAATGGCATGGGGGTGTTGGGGGAGAATAGTTAATCCCCCATCCAGTGTCACCCCGGCCTCTCCCTAATCCTCACTTCTTAAACACACACACACACACACACACAGGTGATTCCAGTTGTAGATTTCCCATATCACACCCTCCTGGTTTATTACTAGGATACTGAACTCAGCAGAACTCTTTAGAATAAATATACCGTACTTTTCCGTGTATAAGACTAGGATTTTTCCTTTTAAAGTTATGTTAAAAATTGGGGGTCATATTATACACAGGTAGTGTATCCCCCCCATTTTCTCAATTTGGAGTCCCCCCAAAAAGGGGGCATCTTATACCCGAGGGTGTGTTATACACGGAAAAATACAGTACTTTGAATTGTGCTGTTGGACAATTAATTTCCTGCAGATTGGTCTGGTATATTTGGATTTGATCCTCACGCGGCACATTTTTCGTGATGGTTGATCTCGGGTTGCAATTTTCTTACTCTAACGCTTGAAATGTGACCTCTAGAAAGAATGCTCATATCAGGATCGGATTAATGTTACCAGCTTTGTTCCTTTCCAAAGCTGTTTTTTATTTGTGCTGCCTCAGAAATGCTGTCTAATCTTATTTGTCACTGTGTTTTTGTTTTCCTTAGGGGGAACCTTATCTGAACACGGCCTACGGCCACGTGATCTGCTATTGGGATGGCTCTGTTCATTATCTGATGTATCTCTTGATGGTGGCAGCTATTGCATGGGAGTAAGTTGATTTAATGGTTGTGGGCAGCAGGATTGGCACAATTTACCTTTCACGGCTCTTTTCAAAATCACCTCACAGTATACTTAGCTTTACCTACAAACTGGGCATAAAATGACCTTTCCTTTTTGGGGTTTTTTTAAGAAGTAGTTTAAGCTTAATCTGAAAATTCTAATCTTGGCACCTTTTTATTTATATATTTTAAAATTTCTATCCCACTTTTCCTCCAAAGAGCTCAAGGTGCCATACTTATTTCTCCCCATGCCATTTTATTTTCACAACGACCCTGTGAGGTAGTTTAGGCTGAGAGAGAGAGTGTGACTGGCCCAAGGTCACCCAGGAAGCTTCACGGCTGAGTGGGGATTTGAACCCTGTCCTTGTCTGACTGTCTAACCACTCCACCATATTGTCACAATAACGTGTGCCTCCAGTTGTGAAGATGGTGTATGAAAACCGGGTATTTCTGTTGCAGGGAAAGTTATCGGACTATTGGCTTATATTGGCTGGGGTCCATCATGATGAGTGTCATTGTCTTTGTGCCTGGAAACATTGTGGGTAAGGACATATCACTTAGTCCATTTTGCTTTGTGGAGAGCCACAGTTGGCCTGCTGTCAGAATTTTGATCTTGCAATAGATGCAAGAGCCCAAATGTCTCTGGTTGAATATCTGTACTGTTGCAATAACTGGAAAACTGGACATGGTCAACAGAAGCCAAACTCAAACCCATACCATTTATTTGTGCCTACACAACCCTTAGGGACACGGGTGGCGCTGTGGGTTAAACCACAGAGCCTAGGACTTGCCAATCAGAAGGTCGGCGGTTTGAATCCCCACGACGGCGTGAGCTCCCATTGCTCGGTCCCTGCTCCTGCCCACCTAGCAGTTCAAAAGCACGTCAACGTGCAAGTAGATAAATAGGTACCGCTCCGGTGGGAAGGTAAACAGCGTTTCCGTGCGCTGCTCTGTTTTCGCCAGAAGCGGCTTAGTCATGCTGGCCACATGACCCGAAAGCTGTATGCCGGCTCCCTCGGCCAGTAAAGCGAGATGAACGCCGCAACCCCATAGTTGGTCACGACTGGACCTAATGGTCAGGGGTACCTTTACCTTTTTTACACAACACTTGGCATTTTATTTTGCGTATCCAAGGTGTTCATGGTGGGAATCTTACCTTTCTTTTTCCATTAGCACTTCAGCCTTGAAACAAAATTCACTTAGGGTTGTTCAGATGTTTTCAAACTGCTCTACACAGAGCAGCCTTTGCACTCCTGGGAACACAGCTCCTGGGAAAAAGTAATGCTTGCTCAAGATCATTTAAAGATATAACCTCTGTTTCCCAGCAGCAAGTCATTTGTATGTGTGACAGCAGAAAATGCTGCCGTGTAGAAGATGGTATCGAGAGAGATGTGTGTAAACTTGCAGGCAAAGATGATGAGGTGCTTCAGCGAAGGCGTGAGCTACATGCCGAACAGGTCGATCAAGCATTAGGTGCAATGTTAATTGAGCATGGAAGAAAACGTTGGTCTGTTATGATCAAAGCTCAGAGGTCAACAAGGTGCAGAAAGAAAGCCTTGTAGGCTTGGCATCATCTTTGGTCTGCGTTGTGCAAGCATTCCATGGAAGAGATTTAACGGGGTAATGGGAAGCTGTGGTGCTGAACTCCAGTTCCCAACATTCCTGACCACTGGCCATGCTGGCTAGTGTTGATGGGATTTAGAGTCCCAGCAACATCTAATGTGCAAGAGGTTCTTAACTTGAATGAGATTTACCTCCAGGTACATGTGCACAGGATTGCACATGTGGGGTATATTTCTTGGTGGACATGCCTAGGCTCCAGCGGCGTAGCGTGGGTTGTCAGCACCCGGGGCAAGGCAAGTAATTTGCGCCCCCTAACCCGGGGCAAGGCAAGTAATTTGCGCCCCCTAACCCCTAACCTGCCGCTGCTGCCAGCTTCTTGCTGCTGCCTGGGCTGGGGTATTTACGGTAAGGTAGCCACGACGGCGGCGGGTCCGTGTCAGGTGATCTGAGGCGAGTTGCCGCTGGCGCTGCCGCCCAAACGACGCCGCTTGCCCGGAGGAGGAGGAGGGCAGAGAGGCGAGGAAAATGCAACATGGCCCAGCAGCTGCAGCAGCAGCAGCGGCGGCGGGGCTGTGAGGAGGGGCTGCCTGGCACACCCTCCACGGCCCTGACGCGCGGGGACCGCGGCGAGCGCTGAGAGCCGCTGCCAGCTCATCGGTTCCGCGAGACATGGGGCTCTGCTACAGCCTGTGCCCGAGGCTCTTTGGCGACTCCGGAGGCGACGAGCGCCCCCCCCAGATGTTGCGCCCGGTGTGGCCGGCCCCCCTGCACCCCCCACGCTACGCCACTGCTAGGCTTATGGTGTAAAATGCTTTATTGAAGGTCATAATTTTTATTTTTTTTGTGTTGTTACTTGCAGGCAAGTTTGGAACCAAAATTTGCCCTGCATCTTTATTAAGTATCCCATTTATCTGTCTCCCAATATGGGCTGGTTTCAAAATCTATAATCAGCCTCCCGTGATTGGTGACTGTCCAGCCAAGGTAATATTTACGTATGAATGTGTTTGTCGTTTCAATGATAAGGGCATGCTGAGGCAAAATCTGCTGAATGTCAAAATGATATCTGACGTAGGGCTGACAAACAGTTTATCCCTCCTAGGTTGCAAAAGCAATATTTGACATGGCTCCCTTTCGCTGGCCTTTGTTTTCCATATTTTGTACTTGCCCTGGAGTGAAAATGAATCCCTCCCCCTGTACTATACTTAAAATCAAGGGTGAGGAACCTTTTCCAGCCTGAGGGCAACATACAACTTTTCAGGGGCTACGTGCTGTCAGAGGGTCAGGCCAGAGGCAGAAAGTGGGGAAACTACTGATGCGACTTTTCACTATTGTACTGAAGGCCGCACTCCAACCCTGCAAAAATCAAGGGTTTCTACAGATGCATTTCTCCAGGCAAGCAAGAGGCATTTTCACCAGTGACATAGTGTTGGGTGTATGTGCACAGGGGCGGTTGCCCCAGGCACAAAATTGTTAGGGGCACAAAATTTCAACATCCGGTGCTGCCTCAATACAGCTACACGCTTCCGTTGCTGGGCTCTGTTGAAAACAGGTTCTCTGTGCAAACCAGGAAGTAACCTTCCAGACAATGGAATAACTCTTTTTTTATTATCTCTGTGGCTGCGATACTCATACATACTCCAACTGTTTTTCTTCCTCCCACCCGCTCTCCACGTGGTCCTGGGTGCTGGCAACCCTTGCTATGCCACTGATGATCACAGCTCAAGAATGAATTTCATATAGGCCAGAGCACTTGAAAAGGGCAAGGAACTATGTTATATGCAACTTATGTAATCTAGACTGTATATATGTATAATCAATGGAAAATTAATAAAAATGTATAAGAAAAAAAAGAAAAGAAAAGGGTAAGGAACAGTGCTATTGATGGGTCTTGTTTTAGGGATGAGGCACGGCTGGGGTAGAGGCCTAAGGGCTAGGAAGGGTTTAATTTAACCTTGCCATGTGAACCTTTGCATCTGAAAATCCTTCTTTTAATGACATCAGGTGAGTCCCATTTGACCATGCACCAGCCAGACGTCACTCAAATGAACCACATTTGGGGTCCATATTTGGAAGGAGAAGGTGTCACTTGGGTGGAATCTAGACACATATAAAAAACGTTGTGAAATTGCTTTTTTAAAAAAGTTTGAAAAATATATATTGAGTTTGCCATAGCTCACCATCGCCATCTAGTGTCACATGTGTTTCATGCACTTTAAAACACACTTAAAATGTTTTATTTGCAGCTGTATAGCTGAGTCCTTGCTGTAAGAAATGTTAAAATAAGTTTGCGATTTACTGGGCTGGGTTGGCCCTATCATTGGGCAGAATGAGGCAGTGGACTTAGGCGGCGGATGTGGGGGGTTAGCAGTATCAGCCTTCCCCATAGCATTTCTTCTTAAGAATGCCCCACAGTTACTCCTCCCACCCCCATCGGACACCAGAGCTATGTGTGCCACCGACTTGTCATACTCCCCAAACTAGCTTGCTGGCTTCAGGTGCGCAGGAGAATACTATCCTGCTGCCATTGTTGAAACAGGATTCAGAGGTCCTTCTCTGTGTGCCTCATCTGAGAGAGGTGCAGATCGTTGCAATGAGAGAAGGGGCCTTTTCTGTGCTGGCTCCTCATCTCCCATGCTGTCCCCACAGAAACGCATCTGGTCCCAATACTGTCATCTTTTAGGTGCCGGGATAAGAAAAATCCTGTTTGCCCAGGCTTATTTATTATTTATTTATTATTAAAACCACTTAAAGTTGTACTGCAGTATGATTTATGGGCTGTTTGTGGAGATCACCTCTTTGTGGGGTGTGCCAGGATTTGCTCACTTCATAGAATATAATAATAATAATAATAATTTATTATTTATACCCCGCCCATCTGGGTGGGTTTCCCCAGCCACTATGGGCGGCTTCCAACAGAATATTAAAATACGATAACCTATTAAACATTATTAAACATTAAGCGCTTCCCTAAACAGGGCTGCCCTCAGATGTCTTCTAAAAGTTTCATGTTGTCGTTTGGTGAAATACCTTTATGTGTGGCGTTCTATTCCGTGTCTTTGTTTTTAAAAGATTCAGAAACTCTTCGCTATCTATATTTTGTAAAGTGGCTTGTCGGTCTGTTATGCATTTGGATACGGTAACTAAATCTTGCATGATGGTTCCTGAGATCAAGGAGCAGATTTGTGTCTCTGTGGATACAATTTTGAATCAAGATGGCAGACTGAACCTTTCAAAACTGTGCTTAAAACTACAGATTTTGTGGGGGCTTTTAGAATTCCCAAGAAGCGCCGGCTTTGAGTTTGCTAGTTTTATATATTATCAGTCTGTTGGAGACATTTTTTTTGGGTAGAAAGCAATGAATACACCATAATTTTTCTGTTTGGTTAGCCCCTGTACATGGAACAGGGGGGTGAGATAGGTCCCCTCTTGTCTATTGCCTCACGATCAGGCAGCATAATCTACCACACATTTATTTCCTTGTCTCTCAGATAAACACTCTGTTAATGCCTTCATTGTTCCATCACCACAGTAAGACTAGTGACACTGGTCTGAATTGTGGATTTTAAAACTGCTCCTGGGAAGCTGGCTTGCTAGATGTGCTCTCTCAACAGATTTGATGGATGTGTTTTCGCTCTGCATTAAATTGAGCTTTTTTAGCCAATTATCAGCAAAAGTTCAGAGTCATGTCCACAGGAAGGCTCTAAATATAGAATCCCATCATTGATTCTGAGCAACTTTTTTTAACCCAACAGTGAAATTGCTTTTCCTGTGGGAAAGCCAAATGCTTTATTCATCGCTATGAATTATGACTTCTGTACAAGACAAGAATAGCCAAGAGAGTAGTGATAGCCGCTGTTAAAACTGCCAGGAAAGTGAAATCAGCCCAAGTGTGCTAGCAATGCATAGTCCCCAGATAAATTTTGTCAGTGCAAATCAGGGAAACTAAGACTGGAATTAGGCAAGCTTATCCGATTTCACATAGTAGGGATGGCGGACCTGGTACGTTTTGTTCATATTTCTTGGTTGCATTTCCATGCTATCAAGGCGCCCTAGGCGGTTTGCAGTTTTAAAATACTTAAACCAATGAACGACATACGGTAAAATGCAGTGACAGTGGTCCTCTCAGACCGACTGAGAGCTGATGGCAAAAGCTTCCTTGCTCCTGCATTTATGAGCTTTGCATGAACATGACGGTTTGGATTGGATTCGAGGGTCCTGTTATGGATCTCGAAGGGAACAGTTCCCTGGCCTTGGCGATAGATGATAATGAGGTAGACCGTAGCTCATTTTGGGGACTGGTAACATACAAAGGTCGGCTCTTTTTTCAGCTCTCAGATGTGAGTTGTCTCTCAGCCCTTTTGTGCAAATAAGGAACTGGTCACCGGTAGCCAACTTCCCCCCTCATAAATCTTGCGTTCTTCCTCTGTGTTTATGCTACAAACGCATTTCAGTGAGGGCTTTTTTTCACTGGGCCCTGGATAACTTGCTGCCAAGTTATAAGCAAACTCTTTGTTTACACAGCAACATGCTGCTCAACATGAAAACGGTTTTCCTCAGTCTTTGCTGGTATAATTGTCCCTGCCAGGCCGCATTTCTCTCATTTTCAAATGACTTTTCTTTCAAAAGAGCCTTGTCTCTCCTCTCTCAACCCCCCGACTAATAATAATAATAATAATAATAATAATAATAATAATAATAATTATACCCCGCCCATCTGGGGAATCATACGGGGAATCTTGCAGTTCCACAGTCAGACATTTGGTAGATACTGGCCAAATAAGCTTGAGATTAGTAGCTGTTTGGAGGGTGTGTGGTTGTTTTTAGATGTTGTTAGATTATTTTTAAATAGTTTTAAATATATGCAGTTGTTTTCTAAATTTTATTGCTTTAGCGCTTTGATGTTTGCTGCCCTGAGCTCCTTCAGCAGGAAGGGCAAGAAAATAAAAAAAAGATTGATTGAATAAATAAATAAATAATGAATCTCTGCCAGAAATTGTGATGCTACCACCATTATTCCAGTTGGTATCTATATTGTGTGGGGAGGGCACTGTGGCTAAGGCCACTGGCTGTTTACTCAGTTCCTCTTGTATATGTTTGTGTAGGTGTGGGTGTCTTTACCTTGCATCTGATTAAATTAGAAATTTCAAGTTCTGTCCTTGTAGTTCTCTTGTTTACCTCAGGACAGAAGTCTTAAGGTGTTTATTGGGCCAGTTTATATGACTTCGAAATTTTTGCATATTGTTTCATAGAATCATAGAATTGTAGTGACCCCTCTGGAAATCATATTGCAGGTGATTCGGGAAGTTCAGCAGAAGAGACTTCTGAGAAGACCTCTAGATTTCCTGTTGGCTGTATATTTCATCTTTGCAACTGGATTTGGCCTTTTTAGGGGCCTGGTAAGTTGGTTGGTTTGGTGTGGGTGTGTGAAAGAAAGCTTTTTGATGTCACCTGTTTAGTTTAGAAAATATACATATAAAGAATATGGAAAAGGGGGATGCTATACAGTCATGGAAACCAAGGAGTGAGAGTCTACACCCCACCCCATTTCTTTACCCTCAAAATCTGGAAGGTAAGTCCCCTACCCCACAGTAACTAGGCTTGGGGGAAAACCCCAAACCCCTTTTTCCAGCCTAATGGTGGAGAGGGAGATTGTGTGCCCATGTATGGTTGTGCATGCCTCAATGTATACATAGCTTTGTGTGTGTGGTGCCCACAAGAACAGTTTATTCTGTTTGCAAATGTGCCCATTGTTTCAAAAAGCTTGGCAGCGCCTGGCCTGATCTGTTAAGTCTCTCCCCTCTTCTCACACAGTAATCTTAGGACTGATGCCATTGCTGACTTTATGGCATCACCACCTATCCATCTCCCTGCCTGCCCTGCCTTCTTTGCTTAACACCCAGCCTAGTGAAGGGTCCTGGAGAACTCAAAAGCTTGCTCATTATTGTGCAACATTTTGGTCCTGCACATCATCCTCCATGTTGCAGACGGAGGCACCAAGGCTGACCCTCAGGCCACCTACTGAGTTCATGGCAGAGGTTAGATTTGGCCTGCAAGCAGTTTTGGGAAAGGGCTGTATTTCAGTGGTAGAGCGCCTGCTTTCTATCTGGAAGGTCCCTGGTTCAGTCCCCAGCATCTCCAGGTCGGCCCACGTACAACACTTGCCTGAAACCCTGGAGAGTCGCTGCCAACCAGTGCAGTCAGCAGTATGCTAGATGGGGCTTCACGTAAGGCGGTTTCCTTATGTTTCTATGAGTCATAGCCAAGTCTCTCTATCCACTCAGCTGCACTAGCGTAATGTCAGTGGGATTTCTCTTTAGGTTGCCTTGGATTGCCCGGCCTAACTTTGCGGGTAGCGCTGTGGTCTAAACCACTGAGCCTCTTGGGCTTGCCGATCAGAAGGTTGGCTGTTTGAATCCCCGTGATGGGGTGAGCTCCTGTTACTCTGTTGTCCCAGCTCCTGCCAACCTAGCGGTTCAAAAGCACGCCAGTGCACGCCTATGCCCTTTTAAAATGTGTTTTTTTGGGGAGGGGTATTGGGTTGCTGTTTTTATTTTTATTAGGTATTTTGTGATTTTATATCTTGATTTTATTCTGTGAACTGCCCTGAGACCCCGGGAAAGGACAGTACCGTATTTTTCGCACGATTGGACACACCAGACCATAGGACGCACCTAGTTTTTTTGGGGGGAAATAAAGGAAAAAAAATTTCCCTTTATTCC